CTCGGCTTCACCCCAACTCGTGCGATTACTATACTTAAATACGAGTGTTTCATCGGGTTTCTGCAGTCCCACCATAGGCTGTATGTTCTCAAAATGTACGGCAATACGAAGTTACTTATAAGGTTGTAGCTGATTGGCTACCCAAACCTAACACCTAATTGTCAGGCCGTTTTTTCGACGTAATGAACATGCTTCGCCTCAACTGCGTACGTGTGTTACATGTCACCTCTTGCATAGAAGAACAATCGACCAATGACCTGGTCAACGAGGTTCATCGGCCAGTAGACGAGGTAGGGCCGTGCAACTCGGCCATAGGACATGTTGGATATTAATAAGAGCCTGGGTCGATAGATTGTAGAGGCATATGCCACTGAGCTGTAGCCCACTAGATAGTGATACCAAAATTCCAATTCCACGGACGCACACCAATTTGAAATAAACGTCGATAAAGCACGTACGCACTTTGTAGCGAGTACTTAGTAGCGAAAGATAACCAAAGGCAGTTTAAGGTTCGAAACCAATTCTTACCAGAATTGCTTCTCGGTCAAAACTATTCTTCAAACTAGTCGTAGATCGTGTCATCGTACACAGAAGAAATATAAGGGACTTTTTATGACGTTACAATCAAATACGTGGCTGGGTAAGATGTTAAAATCAAATCCCTGACTGGTTATGACGTAACGATCAAATACATGACTGGGTAAGACGTTACAATCAAATACCTGACTGGTAAATACCTGATTGATTATGACGTAACGATCAAATACCTGACTGGTTACGACGTTACAATCAAATACCTGAATGGTAAATACCTGATTGGTTATGACGTAATGATCAAATACCTGACTGGTTACGACGTTACAATCAAACACCTGTCTGGTTATGACGTAACGATAAAATACCTGGCTGGTATTTAGTACAAACACTTTTCTATAAATACAATTCAAAAGTTCGGCATGTAGTGTTTGTAGATGAAGCGAATTCAAACTAAAGCACCAAGAATTGTCAACACTTGAGAGCACTATTTACATTCGATATGGATTATTGATGTCATCGTTAATAAAAACAACTCAATGTTTGTCTGTACAGCACGTCTTTGATTGTACCAATAATGTTCACGTTGGCGTATGTAAAGACACTTTCGAACTTGACAATATTCACTCTCAGACCACTAAGCAAATAGATGGAAATACCAGTTACATCACTCATGAAGATTGATGATTCTAATTCTGGTCGGGTGTTCATTTCTATGTAATTGCGATTCTCAATTACTATGTGTAAAATCATATCACAGTGTGGACGGCGACAGATTGTTTTGGTTCTGTGGCTCTCTGACGTTTTCATGGTCGTATTTTGTATATACCATTCAGACACTGATAAGAAACTAAAGAGTCCGTAGGGCATTGTAAACATGCGACTCTGAATAACAGGTAGGACCTGAAGATGGCGTCATCCGGCAGCATGAAATTCACATTACAATATTATGTTTCCGAATAATCAGATATTTATGCTGTAGAACACAATATACAAGGACTGGAAACTGTCAAAAAACACAGAATAGTCAGATCAGTAAGCAAACGTTACTATAGTATACATAAAAGTGTAAAAAAAAAAACCTGTAGCCCCCATGTACAAGTTGACAATCCCTAATATTGCTAAACCGCCAATTGTGAGTTTTAAATCTCATTTATCAGGATTTCCACATGTTATCATTATAATAAGGAAAAATAATGACTTTTTTGTCCAGGTTATAAAATAAATTCTTTAATTATCATTTCATGGGTATTTTTGTTAATGACATAAAAACCCCAATTCCCAACTCTGATGACAAAACCCTACTCACTGCGAAAGCTAATCACTACGAAAGACACGAAAGACTTATCGCAAAGCTACTAGTATTACAAGATAAATGATTATTGTCATTGAACACATACAACTATGCATACTCCCGATGGGATCAGTGACCTTTGAATGTGTATCACCAGTGATCAGTAGTAGAAATAAGTCAAAATATTTCATCGGAGCATATAGGATTTGGCTTGAATGAAAACTGTGCAAATATTGCAAAATATGATTGTAAATTATAGATGATATTTCACTGGGTAATATCGCTCGTTCCGACCTTTATTCAGTCTCAAAGTAGGGCAAACTAAGGGATAGCTAATATTTGTATGTCTGGGGTGGGCACGTTTTTAAAGTTTTTGAGTAGTATATATTACCTACGTACTATGGCACGTGATGACTGTTTGGTTCTACCAAGCTACATAATCTGATTGTACATTTTGTTTTATCGTTGATATCGTTTTTTAATCCTCTCCGATCATAGATATTGAGCTCTCCCCACGAAATGACCAACGATCAGGTGCTCTTCCTGTCGGCATAATAGAATATAGTAATAACTCTTTTTACAATGACATGTTTATACACGTAGAAATGTGCGTACTCAGTCGGTTTCTACCAATCACAGCGTTTACAGATATCAGTTAAAATCACCCTGTTGTATAAGAGGCCGTACCAACTAATACTGTGCCATTTACATTCACAACGCCGCGACTATTGAACCTACAATGCTCACACCGATGTTTCAAATCGTAATTCTGGCAGCGATTCTCTCCTGTTGTCATGGGAATATTATGGAACATGTGTTCAACGCACTGGCAGAAGACAAGTCGCCATACGAGGATGTGACTCCATTGTGTCTGAACCAAACAATACAATTTATGAACGACTTCTTGGTTCCTTCTAGTCAGGGACCAGTCTATGCTCGTCAAAGTGAGTAGGATACCCCATGTACTCCATACCATATATATATATCTATAAGATTTGAATATATGAGTACACTATTTCTATTGATTTGTATTAACAAAGTGATTATGTAGATTATGTGTTGTGTTTGCATAATTAATGAGGTATGCTATGAAATAAACATATTTGCTTGTCTCTAAATACTGCAACA